TTTTCTCAGTGCGGGAACGCAAAGCAAGGTCATCGCATAAACTGCCCACCGAAAAACCAGAAAAGACCTGCACGAGTTCCCCGAGCGGGTGGAGGCAGCAGATCTGGAGGTGGGCAAAAGCCAAGACACGGCGTTGAGCTTCACTCAAACTAGGTACCAATGTACAGTCGGGGCGTTGACCTAAGGAACCCTACATAAGGAACGAGGCCCCTTTTTTCCATAAGTTAACCTTCGATTTCCTGTCGAGAACATAAGGAAATCCTGAGGCAAGCTGTGAAACACTTAGGGAACGCGGAGCCCCTCCCCAACCAAAAGGGTTCCTTCTTCAGGACCCCGACTGTACGAACAACTTGCCTCCTGCCAGAACAGGGCGGGTTCGAACCGCACATGGCCGAGTCACAAGGGAACGAACGGAGACGAAGCGGGGGGACGAAAGGTCACGGGGCCGAAAAGGGGATGTGAGGTTCAAACACTCTGGGAACGACTGGGCCAGAGCAGCCTGTGATCAAAGAAAAGGGAGACAGGAGGCAGGAGCAAACTGTCGATCGATGACGAACAGCAGAGGCGGACCCAGTAAGCAACGAGAGCGCCTAAGACTTCGAACAGGGCGACGGGGACCGCACGGTCTTGCACTGTTTCTGGGCCAGATTGTGATGGCGGCTCAGCCCAGCAGAATTTTCACGTTTGCTGATTTTTTTTGCTGCCGCCGCCGTCCTGCGACCCATGCACTCTCGCGCGCCGGCACAGCGCCCGTGGAGCCGCGTCCACTGCGACCCGCCCGCCAGCCTTCCACCGACCTCGCACCGCTGCCCGAGACCTTCACGCACCAACGTTATCGCCATAGGCGTATTTTTTGGTCGCAGTTCGTGGGGCCTCCATTTGCCCGTTCAATCTCTCACTTTGCGGCGGCGGCAGGGGGGGTCAAAGCCCCTCAGGGCCAGGTGACACGCCTCACCGAGGTTGGCCACTCGGCGCTGGGCGGTGTATCCTTCTCGCGTCCTGCTCCTCCATCCTCGGACACCTGCTCGTCCTCCTCGTCCTCACGCGTCCTCCTCCTCCGCCCCCTGACCCCTCCTGCTCTTCCCGATCGTCCTCCTCGCCGCTCGCGTGGCATGAGCTCGAGGCGTGCCGATGAATCGAAGCGCCCTCAACTTGGGAAGCGTTTCTGGTATCTGATTAACGAATTGCGCCAGTGGTCAAGGTGACTCGATGCGCTATGCGGCCGAGTCCGCCCGACCATGGTCTCTTATCCATGCCTGCGGGGCTTCGTCGCTTCTGTTTTTCAAAATAGTGATGTTTGTGGACGTTTAGAAAAGTTGCTTAATACTTAAGCCAGATCAAGGATCAGGGATGGCAGTAGGATTTGATGCGAACGACGCGCTGGAGGCACTCTGTGTAGTTCGCCTCCTTCGGTAGCTTCAGTTCAGCGCTGGCCGCCAGTGCCGTCCGCCATGAGCGCGGGCTTCGTGGACCTCTGGATCACCGTGGGCATCTCGTCGTCTTCGACGGGCTCTGACAGCGTCTTGACGGCCCCCTGCTTCGAGAACACGGCGCCCGGCATATCCACGCACGCCTGGCTCTGCGCGTACGAGCTTTTCCTGGCACGGCTGCTGCTCTCCGACGCCAGCCTGGCGACCCCGCGGAGGCTGTCCACCAGCTCCTCGAACCTGCTGTTCAGAGACCTGACGTCGTGCATTACCGAGTAGACGTCGATGCTGCGGGCCTGGCCCCTCAGCCGCAGGCAGCCCTGCAGGAACTCGTCCAAGCTCACCTCCCCCGAGTTGTCGTCGTCCAGGTGGTCGAACAGTCGCTCGGTGTCGTGCGGCTCCAGGCCCAGCGCCTGGAAGTAGGACTCCACCCGGGCGTCCTTCAGGAACTCCTGGATGGTCTCGAGGCTGATGCTGCCACAGCCCTCCTTGTCCATCTCCTGGAAGAGCTCCTTCATCTCCTGCAGCCACTTCTGTTTTTGCTCGATCTGCTTTTCGACCAGGAACTCTCTCTGCGTGTGCGCCGTCTGCACGGCGTTGTCTACAAATACGCCGGTGATCCATCGTGCCAATAAGATGTTGGCATTTGAGGCGTGACTGAATGCAAAGAGCTGTCTAGTAGGTTCCCTGTAACCTTCCAAGGGCGACCCCCCCCCGTCTCCTCGCGCTCACGCGTGTGCATCGCCCCCCCCCTTTGTTTTCGCTCTTGAAACGCAGATCGTCCCGCGCTCCCGAAATCACGATCCCTAGTACAGGAAAACTGTGGATCTGCGCTGCCGAGGCCACGATGCCTCGCAACCGAAAAATGGTCCGAGCTCCACAAGAACAAACTATGGATCCGCGCCCCCGAGGCCACGATCCCTTGTAAAACAAACTACAGTCGGGGCGCTGACCTAAGTAACCCTAAATCAGGAACGAGGCCCCTTTTCTCAATAAGTTAAACTTCGATTCCCCATCGAAAACCGAAGGACAACCTAAGGCAAGCTGCGAAACAATTAAGGAACACGGAGCCCCTCCCCAACGAAAAGGGTTCCTTGTTTAGCGCCCCGACTGTATTGATCCAAGCTCCTGAGCTTCCGAGGTAGCCAAGGCAAGCAAACAAGGCCGCCAAGATGATCCAAGATGCCTCCAAAGCGGCCCAGAGACGGCCCACGAGCCCCCAAGACGGTCCAAGAGGCCCACAAGACGGCCCACGAGGGCCACAAGAGGACCCCCTGCAGGGCCCGAAGATGCCTCGATTATCGACTCCTCCATTGGTTTGTGGGAGACTTGTGTGCCTTCACCTGTTCGGGTCCTTTCAGCTCCGCACGGCGGCCTCCAAGATGACCCAAGCCACCCCCAAAATGCCAGAGTAATCCTTCAAGACAGAGTCAGATCGGCCCAAGAGGCCCCAAAGACGGCCCAAGAGACGGACCTAGAAGCCCTCGAGCTGCCCAAGATGACCTCCGGAGGGACCCGAGACTGCCTCAGGCCCCTCGACGGCCCAAGACAGGACGGCCTCAAGACGCAACCACGACGGCTTCACGAGACCTCCTAGATGGCCAAGAGAGCCTCAAGACGGCCCACGAGAGTCCCAAGATGGCCCAGGCCCCAAAGCGGCCCAAGAGGGCCTGAAGGGACCCCCAAGACTACCCCACAGAAGCTCCAGACAGCCCCAAGACGGCCTCGAAGGACCATGAACGCACCACCCCACCACTAAGCCGTGCATCCGGTAGGACGCGTGGGCGGAAGAGCGCGCAATTGCCGACTCTTCAGAAGAACTGCAACAGAGAGCGAGAACGCTGAGCGCCCCACGACTGTGAAGCAGGCAGCGGAGCGCAACGCGACTGTGAAGCAGAAAATGGAACACAATACTGCTCCGAGGTACACGTAGAGGGAAAAGGGAAAAAACAAGGCGAGGGGAGGAAGACAAGGACGGGGGAGGTGAGGCCTCAGATGTGCTGCGTCATCTCGTACACTTGGGAAGCCCACTGCTGTCTGGGCCGGCCGCGCCGCTGGTGTTCCTGACGCCCCTCGAACAGGCGCCTCCGAGAGCACTCACGGTGGCGGGACTTGCCGCAGGCAGCTGGATAATATTCAGCACGGCCAGCAGCGTAAAGGAAACGTAGAAGAAGAACAGCGCCTGCATCGATGGCTCGTACTTCAACCCGTTGGTGAGCTCGATCCAGCTGATGCCGTTGAGCATCGCGTGGAAGAGGCTGGACAGGGTCAGCAGCAGGTTCCCGAAGTACTCCGTGAGCACGGGGTCCACGGGTAGGCCCTCGCTTCTGACCTTGAGGATGTGGCTGGCGACGTCTTGGGTGAACCAGATCGCGAACACGTACATTATGATGATCAACATCAGAAGCGCCCACGCGAGAGACCGGAAGGAATCCAGGATCATCAGCGCCAAGATCCTCAGCTCCGTGAAGAAGCGGAAAACGCGAAACACCCTCACGATGCGCAGCATTTTGACCGTCTTCATGCTCTGCCCGACGGCTCCAGCGTCCGCGTTGTAGCCGTACTGGATGACGGCGTCCAGGATGGAGAACAACACTAGGAACATGTCGAACAGGTTCCAGCGCCAACCCTCCGTGGTGAAGAACCTCAGCCCCATGACTTGAAGCCGCAACATCAACTCCACCAGGAAAAACGCGTTGCAGATCATGCCAGCGATCTCGTACTCGAGCTTGTCCTGGCCACCCCTCACTGCCACGTGCTGTGTGCTCAAGCCGATGAGGACGGTGTTGATGACGATCACCATCCCGCAAAGAAAATCAAACGACCAATGGTTGACCAACTGCTGCAATCTGGGACTACATTGTCGGAGGTTGTTGGACTGCAGCGACCCGTGCAGGGACATCAGCGACCTCTGCAGGGACTGCCTTTCGCGCCAAAGTCTTTGACCTGTAGTCTCGTACTCGAGCAGCTCCTTCGCCAGCCTGTTCGACGTCCTGTTGTCGACCGTGCGACGTTGCAGCCCCTCCGAGTTGTGCGTCTGCAGCGTGTTCTGCCCCTGGGTCTTGGGCTTGCCGTCGACGTCGACGGTGCCGTCGCTCCTGCAGTCGGCGTCCTGCTGGCTCTGCAGAAGCAGCTCCTGCTGGAGGGACGAAAAGGTACCAATAGCGCTACTCCTCCCAGTGTGCGCTCTGACCAGAATCTCGAAGCGAATGGGAGGGCAGCGGTATCGGTCTCAATCGTGCCGATACGCAACACGACGCAACCCGTAGCATGTTGACACGGAGTTCAACATGAAGATTGAACGCGTACGTTTGGAGCGATACGCTCGCAAAAGTGTGGGCAAACACGTTGAGCCAACACGCAACATGTTAACACTGACGTTTTGGACACGGTACGTGTTGCGCTTCAAGACATACTTATCAGTGCAGCTAAAGTGTCGGTCTGCTGCTCCTTGTCCGTGCCACCCTGGCTGCCGTGGCTCATGCCGTTGCCGCCGTGCTCGGCGCCTTCGGGCTCGCGCCCGTCTTCTACCACATGCTTGTTGTCTGTGGTGGACCTCGCGGTTGAGCGGCTGCTCGGTGCCAGTATGTGGCTGCCCGTCTGAGCGGGCAACGGTGGGATGTGCTCCCTCAGGCGCGGCGTCTTCGCGATATCCCCATCGGAGCCGTTGCCGTCCTTGGGGGAGACGAAAACAATATCAACCCACAGATCCGAGGCTCCGAACAAAATTGGAGCGACCGGTTTTTGGCCGTTTTCGGCCTCCGGGAGCCCCCAGCGGGCCCCAGGACTTTCAAAAAACGACTCATGACAAAACATTGCCCTTGGGAAGTGGTCCAGACCTCGAAAACGTTGGAGCGGCCAGACGTCTAGGAATGACGCGCCGTCTTGGGGAAACCGTGCCTTCGAGCAAAACCGGAGGAGCAACACGCTGCAGGCTCCCAATGGCGGCGCGGCACTGATGCTCTCTTTCCCTCCCGAGTCCTCCCACGGGTCGTACTTCAAGCTGCGGCCCCTGGCAAGGTGGCCTGGCCGCTCCTTGGTCGCCCTGCGCACCTGAACCGAGGAGGCCTGGCTCGAGCAGCGAGACGCACGCCCGCGCAAGCCTGCGGCGCGGCTGTTGCCAGGACTCCCGGCCGAGCCGTCGTCGCTGGAGTTCGTGGGGGTGCAGAACCTGAGGGGCACCGAGAGGGGGGGGACTGGCACAGGGGGGGATGCATCGACCTGGAATCGGCGATACATCGCCGATCGGTCGGCGATGGGCCCCCGATAGTGAATCCGCACCTTCCTGTGCAGCTTGGGGCCATCGGGCCCCTATCGGCGACCAGTGGGCGATTGCGTGTCGATGCATCCCCCCCCCTATGCCTATCCCCCCCTATCGTTAAGTCGGGCCTGTCCCCCTACAGGGGGATTTTGGGCGAAAAATGAAAAATACCCCCCCCCCCCCATGGGCAAACATAGTAAAAAAATCGTCCCCTGACTATTTTTGGACTACTTTGGAATATTCCCCCTGTAGAGGGACAGGCCCGACTTAACCCTATGCCCATCCCCCCCTGTCGTTGCCCCCGAGAGCCCCCCCGGGTCGTGCACGTCGAGCTCCGGCGGCTCCAGGGTCGTGAACGTCCGGCCGTCGGCCATCACCGTCTCCACGACCAGGGGCGCGCCGTGGGCGTCGCTGACCTCCACGCTCGTGCTCCTGACCTCCTCGGAGGAGCGGGGGCGACACCCAAACTTTCGGGGGCACGGGCGGGTTCCCTGGATCGGCGTCCAGCGCCAGCCTGAGAAAGGCGCGCGGAGCTCCGACGGTTTGTGTCGTGGCCGTTTCTTTGCTATTCGGCTCCTGCCCCAAGGTTCTCCACTGGAGGTGAGTCACCAGCTCGCGGAGCTCCGCCATCTTCATCTGCATCCTCTGGCGGCACGCACAAAAAGGGAGTGGCGCGGGGGGGGTCTTCTACGAAGGCGGAAGGGGGGGGGGGGTCGTCTAAGAAGGCGGGGGACTTCTCAAACTGCCTCCTGGCTTCCGAGAGGGCTCTCGCCTTCTGAGACGCCCCCCGCCTCGTTGGAAGGCCCAAGGAAGCCCCAGGGCCCTCCTCGGGCCCCTGCCTCCTCAGACGCCCTCGCTTCCCTGGAGGGGCACCCCCGCCGCGCCGCCCCCCCCCTTGCGCGCGCCGCCGAATCCTCTGGACCTCCCGCCCGTGCTCGGCCGCGACGCTCTGCAGCGCGGCCTGGAAGCTGGAGCCCGCGCCCGAGCAGGGCAGGAAGTCCGAGGCAAAGCCGCCCGGGAAGCCTTGGGGGTCTCGCATGCGGCGCGGTGACAGATCCTGAGATCCAAGCGCTCGTATTCTTCCACGCAGGGGCGTTCTCGCAGGGTTTCGGGTCCTGTGACCTTCACCTCGATCCGGCTCAAGACATGCAGCAGGAGGACGGAGTCTGGGCCTCTGGTCGTGATGTCTCCCGATGTTGCAACTTGTTCTATGATATCAGATCTCCAGCGACCGTGCGGCGACCTCGGAATACCCCAGAAGACCTCACAACACGGTCCGTCGCCGCACCGTTTTTGTTGGCACCCTGGAGGCTTGGGGCCCCGGCTGCCTCGGTCGCCCGAGACGTCCTGGAGGTCTCCAGGATGCCTCCTGCATGCCCCCCAAGAAGCCCCAAAGGCCCCCAAGAGGCTCAACAATCACCTCCAAGACGCCCTCCCAGTGGGCCTCGAAGATGCGTCGTAGAGGCCCCTCAAGAAGCCCACGCAATGCCTCCAAGCTGTTTCCAAACCGCTTACGTTTGAACAAGCGCGCTGGGGCGAAGGCGTCCTTCTGACAGCGGGATCTTCCCAGATCGGCGGCACCGGCCGGAGGCCTCTACAATAAGGATACCGCAGCTCGCCAGACCTCTCCCATGGTGCGTTCTGCCTGGACATTATGGAGGAGGAGGAGGAGGAGGAGGAGGAGGAGGAGGAGGAGGAGGAGGAGGTCCCGCCGTGGCGACGCGGACTCTCCAGGACGAGCAGCGCCATCGGTATCTCTGCCTCCCCTGGCGACACCCCGAATCCCGAGTGACTACACACAAATGTTTGGAGCTCCGCGCGGGTTCCTCGGATCGGCACTGGGCACACCTCTCTAGCGTTCGGAGCGCGCCAGGGGCGGCGCCGGAGGCGCCGCCCGGGGGCCCAGCGCCGATGCAAGAAATCGGCGCGGAGCTCCGACAGTTTGTGTGTATGCAGTTCTCCCCTGAAGCGTTCTGCTACAAGCTTCTGAACAGATGTAAGGACAAGCCACAAGAGAGTCCCACACCTGGCATCGCTCGGACGTCCATTTCCCGTGCACTTTTCAGTTTCGTGCGTGTTTTTTTTTGCTTGATGGTCCAGGATCGTCCTCGATGGTTCTCGCCGGTAAAAAAAAACACGCGCACGTCCGAGCGAGGCCGAGCACAAGGGGGACCGGGAGGCCCGAGACCGCATGGCCTGGCAGCTGTTCTGCCCGAGGCTTCTGCACAACTTCTGGAAGCATCGGGCTCCTGCCAGCTTTCTGGCTGCACGTCCGGTCTGGACGACCACGATCCCTCGAGAACAGCACACCAGTGTGAACGTGGCCGTGCTCTGCGTGTTCTCCCTGCTCTTCGTGTGGCCAGAACTCCACTCCCATTTACGATTCTTACCCAAAAGAGCATACCCCATTGCACTCTCGCGTACGCTTCTGACGCAAAAGTGAACACCCTGGCTACCCTGGGATACCTAGGGAATACTTAGGAACGCACGTCTTCACAAGCCGACCTTCTACTCCTCGACCCGCCTCTTCCTGTGCTGCCATCAGGATACTTTGCTGGAGTATGTTCTCCTTTCTGGTTCCGGCTCGAATTCTGGACCCGTTTCGTGCCTGGTTTCTGGGAGCCGTTGCTCCCTCATTGCGTTCCGCTGGAGGCTTCGGATACTCGTCAAGAACACAAGAGAAGATACCCACAAGGGGGCCAGGGAACTCGAAACCGCCCGGTCTGGCACCGGTCTGGCACTGGCTTTTTTTTTGCCCGCCTCGTCGTTGCGATGGGCTCCCATGCTAGTGCACAGCGTGCCCAGGAATCTCCCTCGTCTTGCACTTGCCCAAGCCATTTTGAAGTTGCTTTCTTGTGGGCTGCGACCCAATCCCGAACCTGTAGCTCGTGCGCGGTGCTCTGCCGCCAGTCCACCCAAGGCCCTGGAGGCAGGCAGACTCTGCCTGCCCGCTTTAGCTCCGCCCTCCCCTGGCCGCGACCCCCCCGGAAGCTGGCGCCTTCGTCGGAGTAGGGGCCTGCGGAGCCGGAGCCCTCCATGTCGCTCGGCTGCTGGTATTGCGCACCTGGGAACCGGCCAGCCAGCGGAGCCTCGAGCGACGAGAGCCCCAGGGGTGGCAGCTTGGGCGAGGGCATCCTGGACGCCTCGAGCCCAGATGGCGGCTGGCCGGAGCTGCGTCGTCGTCGTCTTCTTCGTCGTCTTTTTCGTCCTCTTTTTCGTCGTCTTTTTCGCCGTCTTTTTCGTCGTCTTTTTCGTCGTCGTCGTCGTCGTCTTTTTCGTCGTCGTTTTCGTCGTCGTCTCCTCCCTCCTCCCTCCTCCCTCTTCCCTTCTCCCTCCCCGTCGGTGACACACACACACACACACACGCACGCACGCACACGCACGCACGCACGCACGCACGCACGCACGCACGCACGCACGCACGCACGCACGCACGCACGCACGCACGCACGCACGCACGCACGCACGCGCACGCACGCACGCACGCACGCACGCACGCACGCACGCACGCACGCACGCACGCACGCACGCACGCACGCACGCACGCACGCACGCACGCACGCACGCACGCACGCACGCACGCACGCACGCACGCACACGCACGCACACGCACGCACGCACGCACGCACGCACGCACGCACGCACGCACACACACACACACCACACACACCACACCACACACACACACCACACCACACCACGCCACACACCACACCACACCACACACACCACACACACCACACCACACCACACCACACCACACACACCACACCACACCACACCACACCACACCACACCACACACACACACCACACCACACCACACCACACCACACCACACCACACCACACCACACCACACCACACCACACCACACCACACCACACCACACCACACCACACCACACCACACCACACACACACCACACACACCACACACACACCACACACACACCACACACACACCACACACACCACACACACACACCACACACCACACACCACACACACACCACACACACAAACACACTCCCGTCTGCGAGGCTCTCACTGGCCCCGTGGCCCCATGAAGAGGGCATCGGTCTATGGAGCCCCGAGAAGATGAAGCATGACGCTTCGAAACTCGTTCCCAACCATCCTGTGGTGTGGGTCCTCGTCTTGAAAAGACAGCACCCCGTGTCAGTTCTCTCCTCTCCTCCTCCTCCTCCGCCTCCTCCCTCCTCGCATCCGCCTCGTCACCCCCCTGCATTTCACCCACCCAGGACAGCGTTCCGTGGCCCATAGGGAGCTCCACCGAAGGCTCCAGTGGCACAGGCCCCATGCGTCAACGCCATCCAGGACAGCGCTTCGTGGCCCCAGAGGGAGCTCCACCGAAGGCTCCAGTGGCGCAGGTCGCATGCGCCAACGCCACCCAGGACAGCGCTCCGTGGCCCAAGATGGACCTCCACCGAAGACTCCAGTGGCATAGGCCGCATGCGTCAACGCCACCCAGGAAAGCGCTCCGTGGCCCAAGAGGGACCTCCACAGAAGACTCCAGTGGCATAGGCCGCATGCGCCAACGCCATCCAGGACAACGTTTCGTGGCCCAAGAGGGAGCTCCACCGAAGGCTCCAGTGGCACAGGCCGCATGCGTCAACGCCATCCAGGACAGCGTTTCGTGGCCCAAGAGGGAGCTCCACCGAAGGCTCCAGTGGCACAGGCCGCATGCGTCAACGCCATCCAGGACAGCGTTTCGTGGCCCCAGAGGGAGCTCCACCGAAGGCTCCAGTGGCGCAGGCCGCATGCGTCAAAGCCACCCAAGACCACGCTCTGTGGCCCAAGAGGGAGCTCCAGCGAAGGCTCCAGTGGCACAGGCCGCATGCGTCAACGCCAGCCACGACAGCGCTGAGTGGCCCCATAGGGAGCTCCACCAGGCTCCAGTGGCACAGGCCGCATGCGCCAACGCCAGCCACGACAGCTTCGAGTGGCCCCATAGGGAGCTCCACCAAGCTCCAGTGGCACAGGCCGCATGCGTCAACGCCACCCAAGACAGGGTTTCGGGCGAAGGCTCCAGTGGCACAGGCCGCAGGCGTCAACGCCGCCCAGGACAGCGCTTCGTGGCCCCATAAGGAACTCCACCGACAGCTCTAGTGGCACAGGCCGCATGCGCCGACGCCACCCAAGACAGCGCTGCGTGGCCCCATAGGGAGCTCCACCGAAGGCTCCAGTGGCGCAGGCCGCACGCGTCAACGCCATCCAGGACAGCGCTTCGTGACCCCATAGGGAGCCCCACCAGAAGCTCCAGTAGCACAGGCCGCATGCGTCAACGCCACCCAGGACGGCGCTGCGCGGCCCCTTAGGGAGCTCCACCGAAGGTTCCAGTGGCGCAGGCCGCACGCGTCAACGCCACCCAGGACAGCGCTGCGTGGCCCCATAGGGAGCTCCACTAAGGCTCCAGTGGCACAGGCCGCATGCGTCAACGTCACCCAAGACAGCGTTTCGTGGTCCCATAGGGAGCTCCACCGAAGGCTCCACTGGCACAGGCGGCATGCGTCAACGCCACCCGGGACAGCGCTTCGTGGCCCCATAGGGAGCTCCACCGAAGACTACAATGTCGCAGGCCGCATGCGTCAACGCCACCCAAGACAGCGTTCGTGGCCCCATAGCGAGTTCCACCGAAAGCTCCAGTGGCACAGGCCGCATGCGCCAACGCCACTCAGCACAGCGCTTCGTGGCCCCATAGGGAGCTCCACCGAACCGGTACCCGCAATGCGGTACTCGCAACTGCATATGGTTGGGTCCTTCGTCAGGCTAACTTTTCTCGTGGTGCTTTCCTCTCCAGAACTACTGGAGATCAACAGTCAGGACGCTCTACTAGACTGCTGGGTCTCGGGCGCTGTCAGCGACACCACAGTCAAAACGGCCCACTACTTCGACCGTGCACATAAATCCATGAAGCCATCCACCACCCCAACCAACCAACCAATCAACTAACCAACCATCTGGGTAGGGCATCGGTCTACGTAGCCAGGGCTTGCAGGTTCGAGCCCTGTCAGAGCCATTACTTCCGAGCCGCCATCCGCCCTGCGAAGACGGGGGCATCGCGGGCAGCGCCGAGCTCGCGCCGCCCAGGACTGCCCCGACTGGCTGGATGGACTGCTTCAGAACAGGTGCGCGAGAAAGCAATGTTTTGCCAATTCTCCGTCAGGGGGGAGCTTTCACAGCCCGATTAAATGGCAAAGGTTGTAATTGCTCTTCGTGATGATCTTGCTCTTGTAGTAGTTCCATGCTCAGATCTCAGCGATGTATCCGTGACGTACTCCTTGTGGCCATGGCGCGGTGTTATATTGTGCCGTTAAGCTATGGATAAGGTCGGAGGAGGGCCAGCCGGCCGGCGGGCGCGCGCGGGTGCTATATTGTGCCGTTAAGCTGTGGCTATTGTGCTGGTGATCGGGGGAGGGCCGGCTGGCCGGCGGGCGCGCGGGCGGGCCGATTCTCCTTTTTGCGACCACAGGCTGCGGCCCGTCGCGCCGCGCCCGGCAGGCAGCACTCCCGCTACCTGGTCCACAGCTCTCTGGGACACTCAGTGCATAGCACATCAGTGCCAAGCGGCTCACCTCATCCTCTCTGGACGTACTTGAACCGCCATTGATTGCCAGGAGGAAGCACCTGCGGCATAGCCGCGGGTCCCACCTCGTTCTCTTCCTGTCAACCCCAATTGTAATCGTCGCGGCTCCAGCTGTTGCGCCTTGCAAATTGCCTTAGCTCCAGCTCCAAGACGGCCGCCAATTCTGGGCGTTCGTTGCCATGGGGGAGCGGGGCCCGCATTCTGCTGCTCGTTGTCGGTACGCGCGGGCCTTGGAAGGGCATTGTCCGCGTGGTGCCGGCCTCATTATGCCGGGGCGCGCCCAGGCAGAATCCCCCCGCAGTCGGCGGCCCCGCGGTCGTGGCGGAGCTCGATGCGGCAGCCCCCGCGCGTGAGTGCGTGTCCCACTGGGTCGGGTACTCAGCTCGGCGTCGTCTGGTTTACTGCGGATCATCTGGCGCGCGACTGCTTGGCCTCTTGGCTCCCTTGCCGTCGTGCTAGAGTCGCTTTGCCCTTGCCCCTGGCGTCGTCCGATAATCTTGCAGCCGCAGGACGGCCCTCAAGCATAGAGTTCGGCATCTTTTCTCCTTCGGCAGACTGCGCCCGAGGGGAGGCGCCCGCCCCGGCATGGCCAGGCGGCGCGCGGGCCCTCGCTTCGCGCGCTGGCGGCCGCGAAGCTCGCAGAACTTCCACTGGCGGCCAGTAATCCATTATTTTCTGTTTCATGGCAGCTTTCAATTGACTGAGCGGTTCGACTTCAGCGCTCCGCGAGGACTCTCTGCACCACGCGGACCATCCCATGCTGGGTTATTCGTGGTGGCGGTCCTGCGGCCAATCATAGTCCCAGTGAAAAGGTTCGAACATCGCATATCCGTCCACCTTCAATATCCTCCTGCTGATGTGCGGCCACCACATCCACGGAGGAACGATAGCGTTCTTACCAGCTTCTTACCAGTCGCAGGCGTTCTGGAACTTGATCCACCTGTGAGCCAGCTTCTTGGCCTTCTCCTGCTTGTTGGGGTTCTGCCGCTCGGGGAGCTCGTCATCTGGGGGCGTCGGCGGTCAGGCAAAGAACGTCATAATGATGCTGTGCAGCGCGGTCTTTCCTTGCAGTGCATTCTTTCTAGGAGCTCCAATGCCTTCGTCGCCGTTTTCTTTCCGCCTGTTCTGTGCTCGTACCTGCGCGCGGTCGGTATCGCAGCCAGTGAATGTCGTTCCTGTTCTCTGCGCCGGAGGGTCGGGGGCGTAGCCCTCTCGGTCTCGCTTGGCCAGACCGATTTCTCGGCAGTCGATCTTCGGCCAAATCAAGTCAGGGCCAGAGATGGAGGTGCAGTGCTGAACAGGTGCCCTGCATGCGAGGCAACTGTGTACCCAGCCGAATACAGCAATCGCTGCTGCACAGAAGGTAGCCGTCATCCAAGACATTCTGCGCGCAGGGCGCAGTTTTCTTCGCAGAAGAAGCGAGCGCATTATCATCATCCTCATCATCATCATCACCATCATCATCAGGTACCCGAGAGAGAACTTGGTGCTGCTTGATCCGGTCTATGCATGCCGCGTCGAAATCGGGGTAAACCTTGAGCGCAGCGCGCCGTCGGTTA